AAAAGAATTCTTTTCCATCGGCAGTAGAATTTCCAGAATGAAAATAGATAGCAAAAAGTACTTACTCTCTTTAAAAACATTCAAGTCGACAATTGGCAGATCGCTGCAGGACACATCATCATTTACACTATTGTTAATATTTCGCAAGAAGACCTTGGGCTGAATAGTGAACACGCCATCTGAATTGTCACATATCACTCGACCTAAAGTGGCCTTTCTTATCTCGGTCAGTTGTCCTGTGGTAAACCCTGTCAGAGGGTCGTCTCTCTCATACCAGAAGCGATCACCAGCGCGGCAGTCCTTAAACTGTTTGAGAAACAGACAGGTGGCGGTTCTTCCCATCTCACTGCCTTCTATAGGGTTTTCACTCAATATTCCCGCAAATAGATCGATGTCCTCGACAGTTCTGTAAGTGTCTTCCAGTCTCACCCGCTGAGCAAATGGTATATCTGTAAGATCATTGAAGCCGGTACCTGTAGCTGCTGGACCACCACAAAGTTTTGAAATCTCGATATAGCCTGGTATGCCATGATCTCGTGCACGCTGAATGTTTATAGAAGCAAGGTCACCAAAAATACCATCGTGTGGTCCTGGTATTATGAGTTTCTCCAACACCGCCAAAGCAATATTCCTACGAGAAAGAAAAACACTAACTTATTGTCAAATACGATTTTTTGGAGAATCGTTTTTAACTGTTTGGCATGAAAGCCCGAACTTGCTATTTAGATCATTATATTTTTGTAAAAGGATCTACTCATGAATTTGGTGTCCTTTTAACAGTTGCTGTTATCAAAATAACTCAATTTAAGGGCAAGGCCTAGCAAAATCGATGCGTTTTAATGACAGAGAATGAATATTCTGACAACGAAGTTTCTATACTGACCGAGTTTTCCGATGCAGAACTATTCAATCGGAAACTTAAACAGGACGCGCAGAAAGAAAGTAAACACCCTCATAAATGAAAAGTTCACACACTCACACACACGACACACACACGCACATACACACATTGTTGTATTATAAAATGCTTATCGACCGAGTGAGGTCAATATTTAATAGTTTGGAGGAATAGTGTCTGTTAGTCAGTACGTCTCTTTGAGAAGTATTACATTAAACCACCCTCACTTTGATTGCGACCATTTCTCCCCCAAATAAAAACGCATATATAATAAAGTCATTTAACTACTTCGCTATTAGATCACGGTTCATGAGATCGAAGTGTCTGTGTTATGTAAGTTACAGTTCAAGGGCTGCTGAAAGACAATCGAGAAATGAAGTTTTTGCTTTCCGATTGTCAATCAGTTTATTTTGTCTTACAAAACAAGCCTAAACAATGAACACATACCGGTCAAATTCGAAGGCTCTTTCCAAAGCTAATCCAAGATATAAACCTGTATAGGGATTGACTCCTAAGTTTAGTTCGTAGAGCACTGCTGGGTCAAAAAAATCGACTGCAGATTCATTCAGGCGGTCCACCCTACGAACTCCATCCGCCAGTGTAAAGGTTTCCCGAATCAGGGTGTGGCCTATTCTTAAACCAGCCGTAGAGAATTCGTTGAACATTACACACTTTACAAAAGGATCGTAACCGTCGAAGAATGTTCCAGGTGCCTCTAACGCAACTCCTGCTTCTTGCCTCTGAAACAGAAGACGGTCGTTCGTTGTTAATATCCATTCACTTGGAACAGAGCCGCGCTTGCAGTACTTCGTGCGCGGCTTGGGTAAGTCTAGTTTGATCTCAGAATCTCTTAGATTATAAAGGTGTACTGCTGATGCTAAATAGGTTTTGCAGGTGTGTACGCCGTCATTAAAATCCATACAATTGGAGCGCCCCGGATCAAAATAATAATTCAACTATTGATTCATGCTTTAACGTGTTTCGTCGAGATATGATGCATGTCCGAAGTTTTGCCGAAACCACTGAAGAAGCGTACGAAATGCCGAAAGGAGACCAGTCTAGAGCAGTACTGAGTACTTTTTATACGTCACCCTAAAGTGCATCATAAGTTGCGGATTTACATATCTCACATTTTTAATATCTTCGGAACCAATAAAGATATTTGCAAATGGAAAACAGCGCTTTTTATCTTTCGTGGAATTCTAGGTGATTAAGCTAAAAATTCAAGGGGTAAAAATTTGATCATAGTACCACTTAAAGTATGTGGATAAGCCCTTTTTGTGCGTGATCACGTAACCCTTTGAACAGAGCTTTCTTCATAACAACGGGCTTTTGCTTGGGTCGGTACTTATAACTGAGGCCACGATCATAAATGTCATCAAATAGTGATGCATAAAAGCCGAGCTGGTATCTCGTACGCTTTGACATGTTACTCCAAAGAGGACTCTAACGACGGAATACTCGAACCTGGGCCTTTTAAATGTTTTGATCAATTAAAACGGTTCCAATTTTGAATAATTATCTCACACGTGCAATGGACAACAATGCTCACTCAGGCGTAAGACGCGCAGCGTGCCTTTGCTTTTTTGTTCGGCTCTGGATTTCAAACAGAAATGTTATTTGTTTTCCCCTTCATCTTTCGAATAGAAAAAGACATGTGTTGCCTTTTAAGTCCTCGATCAACGACAGACTACGTAAACCGATCAAGTAAAAGACTACGTCTGATGAACTGCTTTGACCGGTCGAGTAAAAGAGGACAACGATAAAGTAGAAGAAAGTTTTTTGCGCACCGTTCTTTCCATTTGGCAACGCTTTGGAAGAAGAATTTTTTGTGGGAGAACTTTTGGCTCCCGCGCTCAAACCATTTCGAGTGTGACAAGTCAACAAAAAAAGTGAGAATGTCGCTGCACACGACTTTGTTGACAAAAGTCTTTGTGAAGAGCGCAGGCCGCCTTTTAATTAGAGCGCTTTTGTTAGCTTATTACACCTTGGGATTTACTTCACACATCAGACCGTTTGATTGACAGTCGCCGATTCATTGACGAGAGCAGTCGGAATTCCGACAGTTAATATTTGTAAATATTATTCCACGCATTGAAAAACTGAGCACTACAAATATATGTCGCGAAAGACAATAGCATTCTGCGCGATGTATAATTTAGAAGTTACAAATAAATGGATATCTACGTATTCTTTTTCCTAATGAGAAAAGAAGGATGAATTATTACATTATGTTCTTCTATCTGGGTCTTACCAAAGTTTGACTGGGGATGAGTGCTGGCAACCATTCATTATATGTAATGTGTTGTATCATGGCACCAACGATTCGGCGCGCCTCTTGAAACAGTTTCTCGTCATTATACCATGGATTTAATAAGTGTAGGAGTTTGGCAATACGGTTGTGTTCACGAACCCACAGAGCGTGCATTGCCATTAAAGCTGTCAAACAAGAAAATATAATGGTTGTTTAAGTGGAGTTAAGTAAAAATTCACTTTTGCATTACTCCGCGACCCGATTGGCTTACAAAACTAGCGCCACTTTTTCATTTAATCAGAAGTGAAACCAAAACCAATCGTCACTCGCTCGTCCATGTTTTCCCGCGCTTGCCGTCAGCTACAGGCATGCACTTGGAATTTTGATTGGCTCACTTTATTGTTTGTGTCCTTTGTGATTGGCTAGAGTGATTACTTTAATTTTGGTTCTACGAAACTCATTTGAAAACCGTTCTAAGCGAAATTCAAATAAACATGTATACCTGTCGGAACACTAAAAGGGTGTTTGTGTCTCATTGTTCAGTTTAATTATGAGGTAGTGTTATCGCTAAGCTGAGTTCGGATTTCTTAACAGCACGATTTTGAAGTTACGTCACCAATTTCTCCCACCTTGATTCTCATTCACCCGAGGATCACCAGCTCTGAAGCAAGGTTCATTTACAAGATCGCTAGATCTACAGAAGCCTG